TAATGATGTAATGTATGGGGATGAACATAAGAATAAAAAAAAAAAAAAAAAAGACTGCAACAGAACCAACAATACATACTTTCAATTGCCAAGTAAATTTTCCGCTCTCCTTCCTTAGGTTCTTTGCCAGGTGGGAAATATGTTCCTCTGATTGTAATTGCAGCTTCGGAATATTCACTGATTCTCTGCAGAGCTTCCTTAGAGGTAACTTTCCACCTAGCAGTCTATGGAAGAAAGGGTGGGGGGAAAAATCACTTCACAACAGGACAAGAACCTGGTATACTGACAAAGAACAGGCTGGTTAAATAATATTATGTTCAATATTAAGAATATAATTAACACCTTCACATAAAATCATTTAGATCCTAATATAACTAGAATATATTCATAAATATAAAATTTCTATTGTTGTCTCCCTCATCTAAATAAAAAGTGAGGTAGCTATTAAAATGTTCATGGGTTTTAAAGAAATTATTTTTGCTCCTAAAGAAGTAAGAGTTTTTACTCCATGATTCAAAAAGGTTTAAAACTGTTACTTGCCTGTGGGAAGTCATTGATCTCTAATTCTTCCTCATATCTCTTAAAAGATTCATTCTGTCCACCATCCTGTCTCTCTTCTTCTTGTTTCTCCAAAGGCACATAATTGAGCTTGGCATTGATCTTTTCAGCAAGTTGCTCTGCAATGGTTTTGGCAGACACGGTGGGAGCCAGAATGGTGCCACCTCTGAGAATTGCATTGGTGGCCTGTTGCATCACATCCTGTAGTTAAGAAGACCTACAGTCAAATCTCAAATGAGGGCAGAGACAGGATCAGGGATCCTACCACAAATTATTCTGCAAAGCCACTAACTAGAAGCATCTTTCTAAAGCAGAGTCCTACTCAGGTGCAATTTAGCAGTACATATTAAGTTTAATATATCTATCTCCCTTACTTTGATGAGAAAAATAAAGAACATTCAACTCTATATTATTAAAAATTCTACTGGATCATAGAGAATTAGGTAACTCTTGATATCAAACATAGTGAAATACTTCTAAAATCATTTATATAACTTTGTGGCTCCTAAGAATTTCCTCTAAATTAGAATCTTTGCCCACTACCACCACTGAGCTCTCCTCCTCTCATAGCCCAAGCCAATGTACAGTAAATTAACTTACCCTGTTACTTTATTTTGTACTTAAACCTTTTTAATTTGAACTTAATTTTACTATGTGCCTAATGTGGACAGAATTCTGTAGTTAATACATAACTCAAACCTCAAGCTTTTCTAACAATGAGACGGCGTGGCTATTTGATTTCACTTGTAAAGAGTTATTAGCAATAATAATCCCAGAGAATATTAGATTAGGCCCTATAATCCCTGTTTTCAGAGGAAGTAAGGCCCAAGTATAGCAGACACTTCATGGTAACTCACTGGCTAAACACCTGATCTTAGCCAAGCAGGAGAGAAGTGATCCTCACTGGCTAAACAAAAACAGAAACCTGAGCCTCTAAGCCTTGATTGTGGCTGCCTCACTGAGTCAGTCCACTAGTGTCTGGCTTGGGTCTTTCCAGCTTGGGTGTTACAGTCCTAAAGCTATCCATCTACTGGGCACAGGGCTCTACAGATCCACAAACTCTCAAAATCCTCAAAACACTGTTAAAATAAACAAACTATTCTTTGGGAATGCTATGAAAGTTTACTCTTAGTTAAAAATTAAGTTGATAATTTCTTAAAAATTAAGTTAATAAAAGAGATCTCAAGAGAAAGATGGCATGTGAAATATTTAACACATTTTACACTGTTTAAGCCCATGTTAGTTTGAGTTATGTAACCAGGTATTATACTTCCAAGGAATTGCTTGTGTGCCTAATAAAAGCAGATCAAAAAAGAAAAAGCCGGGGCCGCCTGGGTGGCTCAGTCGTTAAGCGTCTGCCTTCGGCACAGGTCGTGATCCCAGGGTCCTGGGATCGAGCCCCACATCGGGCTCCCTGCTCAGTGGGGAGTCTCCTTCTCCCTCTCCCTCTGCCCCTCCCCCCACTTGTGCACTCTTTTCTCAAATAAATAAATAAAATCTTAAAAAAAAACCAAAAAGGAGTTATTTCCTTAATATTTTGGTAAGATCAATCAGATTATTACTTTATACAACTATCAACAGCTAAGGGGCGCCTGGGTGGCTCAGTCAGTTAAGCGTCTGCCTTCGGCTCAGGTCATGATCCCAGGGTCCTGGGATCGAGCCCCACATCAGGGCTCCCTGCTCAGCGGGGAGTCTGCTTCTCCCTCTGCCTCTGCCTGCCGCTCTGCCTACTTGTGCTCTGTCAAATAAATAAATAAAATCTTAAAAAAAAACTATCAACAGCTAACATGCTTCAGTTAGGAGTTCCAAAACAGGCATTAAGATTTCAGTCAACCATATAAGAGGAATTATCCAAATGCAGTAATTGAAGAATTCTGTATTCAGATTAATGTTAAATTCCCACTAACTCAATGTCTAGAACAACCTGTTCCTTTGTGCTGACATAAAAAGTAATGACTAAAACTTGGAACAAATTACTTAATACCTGAGACTCAATTCCCAAATTCTTCTGAGCATTGATTCTAAGAGCCAATCTCTTAGCAATTTCTAATTTCTCAGCATTTCCTGCAGTTGGAGCAGGAACACTAGATGTTCCAGGAGCAGCCATATCTTTAACTCTCTTCTTTGAATTAAACATACTTTCAATTTGTTCATCAATCTAAATAAGAAAAAGAAAGATTAATAAAAATTGGATTAAAAATACCAATTTAGATATATCCACAGAAACTAATAAAGACTATTTCTATCAAATGGCTAGAATTAGACACTTATATATGTTAATTCAACCACACAGATCAATAGGAAAATAGACCAGCTATTTGTTGAGGGTGGCACATTTTTAAAAATCAGTTACCTATGGCAGGAAAAAGAAAGAAAAGAAAAAGAGAAAGAGAAAGAAAACAGATACAATGCCACATGAACCAAGTGAGCACACTCCTAAGTGGTCCAGAAAATACATCCCAGTTTAGCAATTGAGGAACATGTGCTGTCAAGACAGAGCACCCAACATGATGCAGCTGAGATATAAGTATGACTTGCGGATAAATTAAACTGCAATGAAAAAGGCTGGAAAAAAGGGCAGTATAACTCAAGGCCAGTAGGCCACTAAAAATAGTCAACAGTTCTCATGGGGAATGGTCCATGTTCCTAAGATGGGAATCCCCAAAACCTTCCCAACTTCTAAAGTGTAAATGGGTTTGCCTTAAAAACTGGGTAACAGGGGCGCCTGGGTGGCTCAGTTGGTTAAGCGACTGCTTTCGGCTCAGGTCATGATCCTGGAGTCCCGGAATCGAGTCCCGCATCGGGCTCCCTGCTCAGCAGGGAGCCTGCTTCTCCCTCTGACCCTCCCCCCTCTCAGGTGCTCTCTCTCTCTCATTCTGTCTCAAATAAATAAATAAAATCTTTAAAAAAAAAAACAAAAAAAAAACTGGGTAACAGAAGGGCACCTGGGTGGCTTAGTTGGTTAAGCGTCTGCCTTCAGCTCAGGTCATGATCCCGGGGTCCTGGAATAGAGCCCCACGACGGGCTCCCTGCTTAGTGGAGAGTCGGGCTTCTCCCTCTCCCTCTGCCCCTCCCCACTCATGTTCTCTCTCTCTCTCCCAAATAAATAAAATCTTTAAAAAAAAATTGGGTAACAGAATCAGAAAAGAAGGCTTTATTGTTTTATTCCTTTGAACCAAAAAAGGAAAAACAGTAAGGCTGTTTTCCCCATCAAAGCAAGAACAAAGGGTGAATACCTCAGCTCTTCCAGGAGCCATGAGTCCAGCTGCAACTGTGTCATTCTAAGGCTGGAAACATCTACCTCATAGGCTATTTGCATTTCCTTTTAAAGATGCCTTCTGCCCAACAATGACTACTGACAATGCCAACTAAAGAGATACAAACCCCTTTATATACTTAAATTAGGCTAATAAGGCCTTATCTGCTAAAACTCAAATGCAGAGAAGAGCTTGTGTAGGGTTTTAAAAATTAATTAGGTGGGGCACCCAGTGGCTCAGTCAGTTAAAGTGTCTGAATCTTGATTTCAGCTCAGGTCATGATCTCAGGGCTGTGAGATCGAGCCCCGCATAGAGCTCCGCTCAGCGCTGATTCTGTTTAAGATTCTCTCTCTCCCTCTCCTTCTGCCCTCCTCCCCACTCATGCGCACTGTCTCAAATAAATAATCTTAAAAAAAAAAAAAACCAGAGAAAGAACTGATATATTTCATATAATGAGATTCAAAATAATGTTCAAAGTAACAAAAAAACTGAGGTGGTTTTTTGGGGGGCCTGGGTGGCTCAGTTGGTTAAAGCACATGACTTTTTTTTTAAATTATTTTTGAGAGAGAGAGTGAATGAGAGAGAGAGAGATCGAGCACGAGCAGGGGGAAGCGGCAGGAAGAGGGAGAGGGAGAGGCAGGCTCCCCACTGAGCAGGAAGCCTGACATGGGGCTCGATCCCCGGACTCCAGGATCATGACCTAAGCCAAAGGCAGCCGCCCAATTGACTGGGCCACCCAGGCTCCCCTAAAGCATATGACTCTTGATTTCTCCTCAGGTCATGATCTCAGCGTTGTAAGATCGAACCCTCAGTTGGGCTCGGCGCTGGGTGTGTATCCTGCTTAAGATCCTCTCTCTCCCTCTCCCTCTGCCCCTATCCCCCTAAAGAGAAAACAAAACTGAGGTGTTTTCAAAGCAAGGCCATAATTTCTTTAATAGTCTTCCCCTTCAAAAGGTGGAGCCTCTCCTTGAGTGTGGGCTGGACTTAACGACATATTTCTAAGAACAGAATAAAGTAGTAGTGCCAGTGTGTGTCTTTAGACATTAGTCATAAAAGGCCTTAAGGCTTCCTCTTTGCCCACTCCTTCAGCTCACTCACTTTGGGAGAAGCCAACTGCCATGTTATAAGGACACACAGGCAGAGAAAAGAAAAGAGGTATCCTGGGCGCCTGGGTGGCTCAGATGGTTAAGCGTCTGCCTTCGGCTCAGGTCATGATATCAGGGTCCTGGGATCGAGTCCCGCATCGGGCTCTCTGCTCCTTGGGAGCCTGCTTCTCCCTCTGCCTCTCTCTCTCTCTGTCTCTCATGAATAAATAAATAAAATCTTTAAAAAAAAAAAAGAAAAAGAAAAGAGGTATCCTGACAAAAGCACAGTGAGTGAGCCATCTCGAAAGAATATGATCCTGTATCAGTCAAGCCTTCAGAAGGCCATGCCCTGGGACAACAGCTTTACTGCAACCTCAATGAGACCCTAAGACAGAACTACAAGCTAAACTGCTCCTGATTTCCTACCCCAAAGGAAATGTGAGATAATAAATGTTTGTTGTTTTAACCTACAACATTTTGACTGATTTGTTACACCATAACCAATAACTAAAACACTGACTTAATTAAATTTTAAGCCAGTATGGTATATTAGAAAGAAATGGTATAGGGTTAATGAGAGATCTGGGGTCTGGTGCTGTCTGTGCTTAACAGCCAATGTGGCTGTGGGCCAAATACTTTTTCTGGGCTTCAAATTCCTCAAACGACAAGATCAGATTGAATTCCTGATTCTAAAATTATGTCCTAAGCTCAGGTTTAATACAATATAATGTATGTACAATATTATATATATATATATATATATATTTAAAAAAACACCTTCTATAATCAATGACCAAATGTGTTAGAGGATTTCTGAGTTAAAGTGAAACACGCTTCTTAGGGAGGATTTTACACATCCTTTGATACGCTAATACCACTACTAGTAGTATACACTAGGGATACTTTCCAAAATTATTGTATAATGGAAACATGCTCTTCTAAAGCTCAAGCTTCTTTGGGTTCCAAAGGATACTCTGTGAAACCCTGAATTTGCTGAGTCCTCAGTGTCCCTCTCCACTGGGTCACAAATAATGCCATTAGCTAAGACCATGGGCTCTGAAGTAAGAATGGGTACAGGGCCCAGTTCATCCCATTAATTGCTATGTAAATCTGAAAAGATTCTTTCTTTCTAAATCTCAGTCTCTTCAATTATAAAATGGGAATACTCTTGAGTATCTACCTTGTCTGGATAATGTGCAGAAGTAAATGAAATAATCCCTGTAAAACATCTGACACAATGCATGGCACTCAGTAACACTCAAAAGTGCTATTATTGTTTTTGTTTTTCAAGGAAACTCTACTACACCCAATGTGGGTGGAGCTTACATTCACTACCTCAAGATCAAGAGTCGCATGCTCTACCAACTGAGCCACCCAGGGGCCCCGCTGACTATTGTTAATGACGATATTCTGTAGTGATTAAGTTTAACACAATAAAAATACTAGTACTAATATTATTAAAGACATGGGGAGCCAGGTACTCTTCATACCACTACAGGGGATGCAGACTAGTATTCACTTTGCAGGAGGACAATCTGACAATGTTTCAGAACCAAATTAGATAACCCTTTTGGTCTAGCAATTCTGTTTACGCTACTCAACCTCAAAACTTAATCTGATGAATGTGCAAAATTAAATGCACAAGGATAAGCAGTAAAATACAGTTTATGATAATATATTCCAAATATGAATAATTGAAACAACCCACACATTCAAAATTAGGGTTTGATTAATTAAACTGTGGAATATCCATATAATGAAATATTATGTAACCAGTAAGAATAATATAAGAATGAGGAGTGCCTGGGTGGCCCAGTCAGTTCAGCATCCTACTCTTGATTTCGGCTCAGGTCATGATCTCAAGGTCATGGGATTAAGCCCTGGTAGGGCTCTGTGCTCAGCAGGGAGTCTGCAGGAGATTCTCTCCTACCCCTCCCTCCACTCGTGCACGTTCTCTCTCTCTCAAAATAAATAAATCTTTAAAAAATTCATTAAAAAAAGAACGTAAGAATCAATTTACTAAAACGAGAAGATTTCAACCTAAGACTATTGTTGTAAAGGGTTATAAAGCAGTATGGCCTCATTTTTATGAAAATACATATATATGGGTAGGACATTATGAGACTATACAGAGAGACAGAGAGAGGGAGAGGGAGAGAGAGAGAAAGGTTTGGGAAGTGCACACATCAAAAAGGTTTGCAATAACTGGCTACCTCAACAAGCAAATGGTAAGACCTCCAAGACGAAAGCAACAATGCTTCAACTGACACGAATGAGGCTTAGAAAAAGGACACTTACGTCAACTGCAGCATCCTCATCATCTGAATCTTGCAGACCAAGAGCCGCTTTTTGCAACTTCTTCCTCTCATTAGCCAAAGCTTGTTCTGTTTCATCAAACTTGAATCCCTTACCAGAGAACCCACTACTCTTTTTAATTATTTTCCCTTCCTTTCAATGAAAAACAAAAAAGTTAATTTCATACTAAAAAACGTTAGTGTTCAGGAACTTAGGAGTAATTAAGTATTTTTCAAAGCAGTGCATACCAATGTAACAAAAACACTTCATCTAGCACATGAACAACAAAAAAAGAACTCTACATAATACTGGGTTGAAGCAAAAGAAAGGATTTTGTTTTCACTCCTTTTCCCCCCTCTCTAAAGAGATAAAATAATCCTATCAAGGTTTACAAGTATTAAATATTCAAGATTTACAACACAATAATGAGCTGCATAAAAATAATGGGAGTTAAAAAAAAACTCACAGCTTTCTGCTGATCTTTGAAATCACTCCAAAGTTTCTCCAGATCAGGAGGCACTGCAGTTCCTGACAATTCAAGAGCTTTAATTATGTCACCGGCATAGCGAGCTTGATCTTCTGTGATAAAAGTATACGCATAACCCTAATGAATGATGAAAAAGTGGAACTATTAGGCACTAACAATAAGACTCTTACTCACATCACAAGATAAAATCTGACCCACCTAATAAATCCTCTTAAGACTAACTTCATTACTAAAGAATTTAAAAAAACAGAAGAGTCCTACTAAATTCTTTAATGCTTCAAAGTGAAATATCTATGTTTAATATTTAAAAATAAGCAAAACCAGAAAATTTCTAATTTCTTCATGTATAAATAGAAATATATGATTTTAGATAAATGCACAAATGCACTGTCACATATATGGATTTTAATATAGCACATTATCTTTCCCCCTTTTTTTTGCATTCCCTTCCTACACTACCTACTGCACCACTCTACCCCAACTAACTTATATTAACTTTCTAGGATTTAGCTTTCCATATAATTTTTCCCTTACATAATTTTTTAAGACCAGTAAAAGATAAAAAAAACAATTTATGGTGTGTGTGCATATATGTATATGTATGTGTATGTATACATGTATGTACAACTCTAACCTTTCTCTTGCCTGAACCAAAAAGCTCCTGGAGGGACGCCTGGGTGGCTCAGTTGGTTAAGCGTCTGTCTTCAGCTCAAGTCACAATCCCAGGGTCCTGGGATTGAGTCCCGCATCAGGCTCCTTGCTCAGCGGGGAGCCTGCTTCTCCCTCTGCCTGCCGCTCCCCCTGCTTGTGCTCTCGCTCCCTCTGACAAATAAATTAAATCTTAAGGAAAACAAAAAGCTCCTCGAGACATGTGAAACCCTAGGCTTTAGAAAACCCCAGGGAGATGATGTAGCTGACTTCATCTTTTTATATATGTATATGTGTGTACAACACATGTATATATACACACATGTGTATATATACACAACATACACATATACCCAACATGCATACATATATACATACACATATACAAAAATTTTTTATATACAAAAATGAAGTCAACCTAAGGTTTCACATGTCTCCAGGAGCTTTTTGGTTCAAGCAAGAGAAAGGCTAAAGCTGGGAGTAGAGGAACAGTACACCACGATCAGAATGTCATCTCTACAACTACCCTGCCCCTACCAGAGAAATGTGACAAATTTTAAAACATGCCTTAATATAGTATTCCAGGTATATCTAACTACCACAATTGACCCGTGGCCTGCTTTTGTACTGCCCATGAACTCTTTAAGAATGGTAACACTTCTTTTTTAAGGTTTGTGTACACACACACACACAAACCCAAATGACAGAGACTGTATGTGGACCAAAAAGGCTACAATTTTTACTACATGCTCCTTTTATACACTTTCCCAAATCCATAGAATAACTCAGGTTAAAATAATAAAAGCCATCACTACTTATTAGCTATGCAAGCTTGGGCGTGGGCACCTAATTTAACTTCCATGTGCCTTAGCTTTTCTCATCTATTAACTGGAGTAATATTATTTACCTTAAAGGGAAACTGTGAGGATAAAGTAAGACTATGTATGTGAAAAGCACTGAAAACAGCGTCTGGAACTCAGTAAGTACTACATAAATATATCCTATTATTATTAATATTGCTTCACAATATAGAAATGTCCAGGGTTGGAATATCAAATATATCATCATCAATGCTTCCAACAACAGAATATTCTGCTACCTTCAAAAAGAATGACTTAGACTACATACTTACCAGACTACAGGTGAGTTTAAAAAGCAAGTAATATACATAGCATATGGAGTGGGACAGGGAAGTAATGAGAAAAAAGGGTGATAGTTTTGGGGAAGTATATTTATGATCCTACATTTTAAAAACAGTAATGAAAGGGGTGCCTGGGTGGCTCAGCTGGTTAAGCATCTGCCTCCGGCTCTAGGACAGAGGATCCCGGCTCAGCAGGGAGTCTGCTTCTCCCTCTCCCTCTGACCCTGCTCCCTGCTTGTGCTCTCTCTCTCAAATGAATAAAATAAATAAATTTTTAAAAATCTAAAAAAACAGTAATGAAAGATCCCAAACTATATGCATGTATGTATATACACACACAGAAATTTTAAGGTAGGGTAAAATAAAAAACCCTAAAAGAGGATATAAACAATTAACACTATCTGCCTAAATACAATGGCTAGTTATCTGATAATTTTAATACTACTACATATAGAAATGAATATCAACTAGTCCCCATACTCTGAGGATTGATCATTTTCAAAATGTCCCCGTAACTCCTATTATCTACTCCTTAAAATCCTTAAAAAAAAAAAACAACCTATATTTTAAATATAATGGAAATCAACTTTAAAAAATTCTTTTTACTTTATTGCCTGCTCTTCCAGTCCGTCCTGCTCTGTGCACATAATCCTCATAATGGTTGGGGCAGCTGTAATTCACTACAAGAATCAGATGTTTTACATCTAGACCTCGGGCAGCAACAGAAGTAGCTACGAGAAGTTTGCAGGTCCCATTCTTAAAGTCATTTATGATGCTATCTCTGTCATATTGATCAATACCTGCAAGTAAATTAAAAAAAAAGTTATAAAACCACAAAATGCAATTAAATTTTTCATTTCCTCCAGCACAGAAATAAGTGCAGAGTTAAGAATAAATCCAACGTACACTGACCACACGTCCACCAACAATGGTATAAAAAATAAAACACTAAGGAAATTTAATGGCAAGACCAAAGGCTACTGCTATCAACTCATTTATGAATCTTCCAAATCTGCCCTTGTTTGGCACCCTTTCTTGCAGAAGCCCCACATCAGATTCATTGACCTATACCTGTTTAGGAAATAAAAGAAGAAAAAGCAGGTACATTCAGCCTACATTAACAGGATTCAGATCTTTCTCCTTCTCCTATGAGTTAATTAGAGCCTTGATCATTTTTTTCCCAAGCAGCAGAAGCATCAATCACATGGGACACTGTTAGAAATGCAAAATCTCAGGTCCTACCCATAACTACTGAATCAGATTCTATATTTTAACAAGATCCTTAGGTGATTACACATTCCTATTAAAGTTTGAAATACAATGGTTAAAAAGTATACACCCAATTGGGTATCTCTTAAATGTTACCCAAAGAGCCTCGAGATGACTGATAAAGGAGAATATAAAAGAACATTTTAGCAAATGTTCTAGTACAAGATACTCAGACCACAAACTGATTTTATGATGGAAAATTTCTAGTAATTACAAAATGGAATGGGGTAAATTCTCAAACCGTGAAATTCAATTCTGCAGCAGGACATATTCTAAGGCTTCACATATGATCTGAGTTTAAAATACAAAGAATACTTAGTATCTAAGTATGTATCAATGTTAATTAATATTATTACCTAAAATTTAAATGTACTATTCAAAGACTGAATAAAAGAAAGTATTTGGGGGGCGCCTGCGTGGCTCAGTCGTTAAGCGTCTGCCTTCGGCTCAGGTCATGATCTCAGGGTCCTGGGATTGAGCC